TGGACTGTTGGAGTGGGAGGATTAAGTGCATTGAAAATGACACAGAACCAGACGTTGCCCTGGAGGGTATTCATTCACGAGCACCTGTCAGATCAGCGCTGCCACACGCCTCCCACTTCTCGCCCCTGTGGGCCCGTCTTAGACAGCGGCATCTTGTTTTTAATGTTATATCGACTCTTTCTCACATCCTGCATTTGAGGATGCCTGTGCCTTGACTCTCTTATCTTCCTCTGAATTACAAGGATCAGAAACTTCGGAAATAGTTCTTTTCATTGATGGTAAATAGTGCCCGTATCAAACTAATTACACATTGCCTGTCTGTGGAGAAAGCATACATGCTCTCCTTAACGAAGCTGACGTTACCCTTGATAATAGGAGTAATACAAAGATATGTAATCCCACTTTGCTAACAAACTGTGTTTACGTATCCCCTCTGCTTTGGGTCCTTGTCTGGCGTTCTTGCGTAGCACATTTATGCTGTGCTCGTAACGGTGGTAATAATTAGGACACCAGTAGCATATGCCGTATGCCAGCCAACGTCTTCAGCATTTTACCTCTAAACTATTCATCTTTCCATCCTATGATGGGAGGGACACTTAGCATGTCTGGATCACAGGGAAGCTAGGGTGCCAAAGGGGAAGGGACTTGTCTGACCCATGAGTGCAGAAGCCAGGATTTGGGTCTGAGCCATCAACTTTTACCTTTTCTGCCCCGCACCGGGGGCGAGGTCTCCCCCAGGTAGGGAAATCCTGGGGCCAGCAAGTTGCTTATGGGAACCAGGCCGGGGGGCAGGGGGCGGACGGGTCAGGGAACGTGAGGTCTCAGGTGAGATGAGGATGGGCAGGTAACAGCCAGGTGGCTCGTCTGACGGGGACGATTCCCGATCCCCAGCTGGAGCCAAGGCTTGAGCACGGGAGAGAGACCTTAATGCTGGGGGGCGGCAGGGGAGCTGGGCAGGAAGGGGGGGTCTCAATCCACCCCCCCCCACTGCACTGTCACACTTGGCACACATGTGAGCCCTCCTGCTGTGGCCCAGTCCTCTCCTGCCTCCTTCAAAGCTGTCGTTTATCAAGATCTGCGCCCATCAGGCCCTGTGCCAGACATTCGGTCAAGGTGTCTTCATGACTCTGCATGGTAAATGTTTTAGAGGTAAATCTTTGTACCTAAAGAGCTTGTACTCAAGTAACTCTGTTTTATGGTGCTTTTCTGATTAGCCATGACATGTTCAACTAGGAATTAGTGCAGCATGGGAAGCTCCCTGCTTACCGTCATGGTGCCTCCGGTTTTCCTGCCTGCCAGCCATGGAGGAGCCCCACTGGACTTCCCTCCGTCAAGCGAGGGTGGCCGTCTGGTCCTCTGGGACCCATCCATCCACGGCTGACGGGATGAAAGGTGGGCTTTGGTCCACCAAGGGACCTGGGACCCCCGTTACCTTGGTGACCACAGTGATGACTGATGAAAGGTTCCAGATCTTGCCTCTTCGGCCACTTGAACTCATGGGGGAATATTTGGAAGTAGCAACATCAGTAGAACCATTGGTGGGCCGTGGGGTGGGTGGGTTTACAGTGGTGTTTCCGTGCTGGGGTACTCTGGAGAGGCACCTGAGTGCCTGGCGCCAGGTGGACCCCAGTGCCGTCCTTGTTGTTTTCTAAGGCATCTCTCATTTCTATTTTAATATCCTCTTTAACCCAAGAGTTATTTGTTTAAGTATTTAATTTTTTTCCTTGTCTATTTTCCCCTTTTTCCTCCCTCTTACTTTCTAGTTAACTTCTGGTTTGACTGCACTGGGGCCAGGGGCTGTCCCATACAGTTTTCTAATTTGGAGAGTTTTTCGGGTGTCAAGAATGCTTCTGAGTGTTTGCGAATGTTCCTTGGATACTCGCACCGCCTTTTGCATTTTCTCCAGGACGTGGAGGTGGGTGTGGGTCATTTAAATTATGCTCGTTGATTATGTTATGTTTCACGTTGTAACCAGATGATGCTCTGTCCGCTGCGCTGTCAGATTCGAGGGTCGGGCTCCTGTTTCCCGACGTGACTGCGGTTTTGTCAAGTTCTCTGGATCAACTCTAGCAGCTTCTCCTTCGTACGTGTTAGTTGTTCTTTCAGCATAATTGGATCTTTTGATCGCTCCACCATTTTGTCAATCAAAAAATGCTCGTGTGTGTATTCAGTGTTTGTGGCCTGAATTTTACCTTTTCTGATACCGCTTTACTGCCACCCCTTCTGGGTCATTTTCAGGTGTGTTTCACGCAGAGACGAATGCTTCCCCTCACTGGGTTAGAGCCCCTTCCTGGGTGATTCACGTTTGATGTACTAACTCATACACTTGGTCCCATTGCTGCCCTGTTCCTTGAAGGGCTTGCTTCTCGTGTCCTCTTACTGACTGTGGTTTGGAAGGCAGACCCGTGGCCCGTGGCTTAGTTACATTCATTGAAAAGGAGAAATTCCTGCTGTAAGTGCTTGGTGCGTGTTGAGAGCCGTGTCAGGACTTGGGTCTGCTGCTCCCCGGACAAAGTGAGCGTTTCAGCCAGGCTTCCTCCCCCAGGTCCCCTCTTCCCAGGGTCCACGGGTGCCGTTTTCCTCCTGTGACGTTGTATCCGTGATGCTGCCGAGTTCTCTGGTTCTCTAATCAGTTGGGGTTTGCAGTCCTGAGTGTGGTTTGATTTTGTGTGTGTAACACTTGGATCTGGGGATGACTGAGGTGCAGTCAGAGCCTGGCCTGTAGACTTTCGGGGCCCCCTCCCCAGCGCTTGGTCCCTTCTGTGTGTCTGGGAGGTTGTGTGTTGTCACGTGGACAGGGTTTCGGTGGGACCCCATGGTCACATGGCACCGGGTGCTGGCCTCAGTTGTGCCTGGCGTGGCTCTGTGACCTGCTTTTGCCTGGGAGGCCGACCCCACCCCCACCCCTGTCCTTGCTGCTCATTCCTTGGTTCCCTCAGCAGACACTCCTGGTGGCTTCAGCGTGCTGGACACGGTTCAGCCATGACCTTTGCCCTTTGCCAAGAACTGAGAACACAAGCTGATCGTGTTTCTTCCTGACCTGCGCACTCCAAGGCCTTCCTGGTTTCACAGAGTAAGCCTGAGCTCTTCAGCACAGCATTGGGTCTGACAGGCCGGCCTTCGAGCTTTCTGTCTGGCCTGCCCGTCTCTGCAGCTGCCCGCTGGTGCCTGAGATGCCACAGTGGTCCCCAACCTGATGTGTGTGCACCCTCCTCCCCAGGCCTTCAGGCTAAATGTCACACACACACACACACACACACACACACACACACACTCTCTCTCTCTCTCTCTCTCTCTCTCTCTCTCTCTCTCTCTCACTCACTGTAACCCCTCATGTCTTCCTGTGTTAGCTTCAGCTACGTTGGTCACAACAGTCGCAGTCATTGGTATTGAGGACTGGCCTGGATGCCATCCTTCCTTTGCTCCTGAACTTAAGGGGGGGTCTTGGTGAACCTCTGTACCTCAGCTGGGCTTCTCTTGTCCTCCGAGCATCACATTCACCTGTGAGGGTTGCTCAGGCCCCTCCCTTACAGTCAGTTGGCCTTGGGCTGGGCCCCTTGCATCCTTCGTTTTAAAAGCATCCTAGGTGACTCTATGCCCAGCTTAGAGTGACTCCCATTGGAACCCATGTCTTGAATGGCATCATTCCTTAGATGATGGTTTTTCAAAAATGTTGCAGTGCTTATTAAATTGTTTTATCGTCAGAATAGGGTGCTTTTGTAACAATTCCAAATATTAACGACACCTGGCAAGTGAAAAGTGAGTCACTCGTCCCCACTGGAGCAGGCTGTGTCTCTGCTTTTAACCACCTTCCTTGGGCTAATTCCATTGTGTTGTGGATTCTTCTGCCGACCTGTATCGCTCAGGTTTCCGAGTCTGTATTCCCAAGCGGGGCTTAGGTATAGTTTCCTTTTTGGTTTGTTAGCTTTAGGGGTCAGGATCACTTTTTGCCTCGTAAAGCGATTGGCAAGGAGACTTTTTTGTAAAGTGCTTGAGACCTGTCTTGTGGGGCCCCAGGCCCCAGTGGAAAGGAGTTCCATGTGTGTTGCTGCAGGGCGTTGCCAGACTGAAATTCCAGAAACTACGTGAAGAAAACAAAATAGGCTACTGTATAGGACCTCCCTCTCTTTTCTTTTTTTTTTTTTTTTTTTTTGTGGTACAGGGGCCTCTCACTGTTGCGGCCTCTCCCGTTGCAGAGCACAGGCTCCGGACGCGCAGGCTCAGCGGCCATGGCTCACGGGCCCAGCCGCTCCACGGCATGTGGGATCTTCCCGGACCGGGGCACGAACCCGCGTCCCCTGCATCGGCAGGCGGACTCTCAACCACTGCGCCACCAGGGAAGCCCCCTCCCTGTCTTTTTAAAAATTTTATTTATTTTGAATTGTGGTTTAAAAAAGAAAAACCTAGTAAAAAATTTACCATCTTAACAGTTCTTTAAAGTGTGCAGTTGAGTAGTGTAAATTGTGTTCACATGGTGGTACAACAGGTCTTTAAAGCTTTTTCCTCTTGGAAAACTGAAACTTACCCATTAAACTTTTCCCCATTTCCCCCCTCCCCTAGCACCACCTGATAACTAACCACCGTTCTACCTTCTGTTTCTGTGAATTTGACTCTTTTACACAGCCCATATAAGTGGAATCATATAGTATTTGTCTTTTTGTGACTGGTGTTTATTTCACTTATAATGTCCTCAAGGTTCATCCAGGTTGTAGCACGTGACAGCTGTCTTCCTTCTTAAGGCTGAAAGATATTCTGTTATATGGAGAGACCACAATTTGTTTATCCATCCCTCTGTTCTTGGACATTTGTTTTGTACCTCTTGGCCATTGCGAATCGCGCTACTATGAATGGGGGTGGGCAGATATCTCTTTGAGATGCTGCCTTCACTTCCTTTGGACGGACACCCAGAGGTGGGGTTACTTTATCATGGGATAGTTTTATGTTTAACTTTCTGAGGATCCTCCATACCATTTTCCACGGCGGTTGTACCAGTTTACATTCCCACCAACGCCGCACAAGGGTTCCAGTTTTTCCATTCTCGTCCACACTTGTCAGTTTCTGGTTTTTGCCCATAGCCAGCCTAAGGGGTGTGAGGTGACAGCCCATGGTTTTGATTTGCATTCTCTAAAGATTAGTGGTACTGAGCATCTTTTCATACGCTTATTGGCTTAGCCTGCCCTTTTTAAACAGTATTTAGTTAGATTTTCTTTACAGCGTTTTTGAGGAGCCTTTTTCTTTATAGGTACTTGTGGTAAAAATGAAAACTCAAGTGAATTGATGTAGATTTTGAGGGATTCTCCCACGTACATGTGCTGGGGGAGCTTATTTCTGAAGAGACCATTTAGAAGGGGGAGCTCCTTGTGAAAAGTGGGCACACCCCCGCTCCCACTCCCCCTCTTCCTTTGCATTCATCCCAGAAAGCCATGTTACCCTTTGCGGGTTGTTTAAAGAGTTGATATAGTTCAAGTGCGTGTGACGACTGTCACCCTGTAGACTTGAAATGTAAGAATTGAAGCCACCCAGTGCCTCTAAAAGAGGGGCCATCGGTTGTCTTCTCTGTTTCTTTACAAGTAATCCATGCTTATCACTGATTTAGAAAATACAGCCTGCAGGAGAAATGAAAAGTCATCTGACTGCCTGTCACCCCATCACTGTCACATGGATGTGGTGTTAGAAACGGGGTCATTCGTGCTCACTCCTGCAGCCTGCTTTTTTCACTCGGCAGCTGTGTGGAACAGCGTTCTCTGGCCACACCAATGTCACCCATGCCATGCGGCTCCTTAGCCGTCCCTGGGACGAGTTGAGTGCCGTGGTCTGAGGAGGTGATGTCGGCACTTCTTCACGACCCCTGCATTGATTGAAAGCAGTAGCTCACCCACTCCTGTGCATTCCAGTTTGGACATCTCCCTCCCAGCCTCGCTGCCTAAGGTGGAATTGTAGCAGGCGTCCTCCGGCAGGAGAAGCACCTTCACTTCACTTCTCTGCAGGATGAGCTGCAGGTTGGTAGTTTCAGTGCTCTGTTCCGAAATGGAGCCGGCAAGGAGCTATCTCATCACTGCCTGTTCTGCGGTGGCACCAGGCTGAAAGCGATTCCAGCTTCCGGAGAAGAAATGCACGTTACACACCCTCTGGGACAGGGAGGCTGCCTCGCCCCTTCAGCTGGATGCTTCCCAGAGACCCCTCCTTTTTCTGAAGCCTGAATTTGGGGACTGTAGCTCGCACTGCCCACACGAGTGCGAGCCAATCTCGAAGTGTTTTTCCTGCGTCCATTTTGGTAGGTGTGGTTTGGAACCTTCGAGAAGGAATGTTTTCACTTGCCTCAGTGGGTCAGCTCCTCACCTGGGGGAAGGTCAGTTGGAGATTCGGGAAAGGCGTGAACTGGATCCTTTGCTGCCCCCTAAAATGTGCAGTGTGGGGGGCGGGTAGGGTGGGCGGCCCTGTGAACTCGCAGCCCTTGGCTAACAGTTAACCTGAAATGCAACTCTGGGTTTGCCAGGACTGCTGGGAGCCCAGAAGCTTCTGGAATCTTTAGCTCCACTTGGCCCTGAGGCTCCTGCCTTGATGGGCTGGCCCTTCAGCTGCTCCGTGAGGCTGGAGCTCTGTTCCCTCGCTGCATGGACCAGCTTCCTTAGCTCAGAAAGAGTGAGGGGTTCGTGCCCAGCACAGCTGCTCCGGCTTCTCTGTAGCCCCCCCACCGGCTTCCCCGTTCACTGGCAGGTACTGGGTTGCTTTTGGCCGCTGGGTGGGAGGAGGGGCAGGAATTAGGTGGCTCTGAGCCAGTCCGTGTGCCCACCCCGGGGCATGCAGCTCACCCTTAACCGCTCAGGCCTGCTGCCTGAGACACGTGGTGATTTGTGATGGGGATAACCGTAAAACTTAACCCCGATTACAGGCGCGTGTGGAGTGTGCCTGGCTCACATCTCAGCCCAGCTGGTAGCGGCCTGGCACCCCGAGGAGACAGGGCAGGGACATGGGTGTGTGTTGGCTGGGGGTACGGTGATTTCTTGGGATTGGCTTGGTGCAGAGCTGGACGTGCCTGCCAGTGTCCAGCAGCTCTGTTTTGGAGAGCTCTTCGGGAGAAAGGAGCTTGGTTTGGGCTGAGTTGTTTTCCCCAACAGGAATCCTTCCAGCCTGTGAGCTCTGGGGCAGCGCGGTACTGAGCCCTCTGCCCGCAGCTGCTGCCCCTTGTCACTTTCACAGTTGGAAAAACTTCCCTGGGGAAGTTCAGTCACGTGCCAAGTCCACCGTGGCAGACCTGAACCCAGACATCCTGCTGCCCCCGAGCTTGGGGCCCCTTCCATCCAGGGCCTAAATTCCATCCTGTAACCAGCTTTTACCTTCCTTTGCCTGGAGGCTCATGCCTGGTTCTAGAATCCTACCTAGGAAGCAGGCACTGTGAGCCTCTTCATGCAGCGTTTGGGGAAACCGAGGCATCAAGAAGTTCCCCCAAACTTTGAGGGTCAAAAATCGAACAAAAGTGGTTTGACTTGGAGCCTTCTCTCTTCCCTCCTCACCCCCCAGCCACTTTGCTGCTTCTCTTCCAGAAAGGAGCTAAAAGAGGATGTGTTTCTTTCCTCCCGTCTCATCCTCGGGGCTCCTCCACCCAAAGTTTCCAGGTCGCACACAGACGCTGAGCAATTCTCTAAACTGATTGATGACTCCAGAGCACAGGGGTCTGGGGCAGAGTTCAGTGTCAGGGACAGTGTATGTCCCCATACATGCCGGCGTCTCCTAGGGTTCGGGGCCCAGCTCTCATCCAGTGACCCCTCTGAAGGACGCCCACAGACTTGAGGGACCTCATCAGGTAATCCATCCATCCGTGCAGGGGGGCCCCCCAGGTCACCTGGCCAGGTATGTATAAAGGCCCAAACAGGACAGGTGGTATTTGGGCCCTTCTCCTAGAAATTGCTTTTTTATAAATACAGGCCTGGTTTTCACCTCTGTTTATTTATCCAGGCCTCTCAGGTTGTGACTTCCTGATGATGTTATAGTCAACTGAAAGTTCTGAGTCGCCAACTTAAATCCTTAGGAGAGCGGAGGGCAGTGTGTGTGTGGTTGAGAGGCCTTTACATAGAGCTTCCTGCAGCCGTGCTAGGCTTTTGTTCTCTTGCACTTGGGCTGAGCACTTCTGTTGCTTGTTTTATAATAAATAGAAAAGCTTGTATTTTTTTCCCTTCTGGCTGGCAATGGATGTAGGGGGACTTTCAGCGGAGAAGGAGGGAGGGACCTGGAGAAGGGGGCTCATAGAGGCCAGGCCAGGTGACCAAGGTCAACATCACCAGTATTAAGTCCTGTTGACAGTACGTGCCCTTGATACGGTGTGATGAGGGTACTTCACCTCTGCCCCCTTCCTCCCCTGAATCCACAAACCTAGTCTCACCATGAAAAAAACCATCAGACACATTCCAGCTGAGGGACACTTACAAGCTACCTGCCTGGTCCTGCTCAAAACTGTCAAGGTCGTTGAAAACAAAGAGCGTCTATGGAATTGTCACAGCCCAGAGGAGCCTCAGGAGACAGGGCTGAATGTCATGTGGCACTTGGATGGGATCCTGGAGCAGAAGAAGGACATTAGGGAGAAACTAAGGGAATCTGAACAAAGGACGGACTTTAGATCGTAATAACGTGTCATCCTCATTCGTTGGCGAACGGGCTGTCCTAGTGCACGATTTAATCATTGGGAAATTAGGTGTTGGTTGGCGTATGGGAATGCCCTGTGCTATCTTTTCTGTAAATCTAAACCTATTCTGAAAGAAAGTTTATTTTAGAAAAGAGACAAAACAGCGGAAGGGAAGGCCAGTGGGTGGCAGGGATTCCATGGCACGGCTCTCAGGCCAGGAATGGCCCTCTGCTCTTGCATCTGCTTTACACAGTGACCGCAGCTGGTGTCCGGAGGGTGCCCTGCAGTGCCGGCCAGTGGTACCGGCCGCCCCCTGCCAGGGAGAAGCCCAGGCCTCCACACCCGGGCTAGTAGCTGCCTTTTCTGCCAAACATGGTGCCCAGCCCCCTCGAGGTCAGGCCATGGCCTGTCTCTTCTGGCCAGCGTGTTCTTTGTTCTCTCCTGGACCAGACTTTGAACGGTGAGCTGCTCTCCCAGCCAGCGAGGCAGCCGGCTTCCAAACACAAACACAGGTCATCTCTGCCAGGTGAACTTGAGAAAGGCAGCAGAGCAGCGGGGACAATGGGCCTGTTTATAAACTGCTCTCAAATTCAGAATGTGGAGCATTAGGCTGGCGGTGGGAGTTGCGGTGGTGACCGAGGGTCCCCCTAATCCTGTTAGCGGCTCAGGGGTTGATGCACGGAAAATGGCATGAGATGGTGAGACTGTCTCTCCTCCGAAGATGGCTGATGAAAGTATGCACGGCTGCATCGAGGCATCCGCTCCTTTAGATATTCTCTGCTGATGTGGTGAGTCAGGGCTCAGGGAGTGAGTGCTGTTACACGCCCAGCACTGGGAAAGTCACCGAACGCACATGCACACGCATACACACGCACGCGGGCACAGGGCCCCTGCATGCACTGGAGCTTGTAATCTTCTTAGGCCAGAAGGCTTTCCTAGAGGACCGAGCTCCAGGACGGCGTGGGGACAAATGTCCATCTCCAGCTGGACCTGCCGTCCTCCGGCCAATCTTACGTGCCCAGGAATCGCCAGGGCGTTCCTGACCAGCTCCCGAGTGACAGGAAGGAGGTGGCCGGCGTGGGGACTGCACTCTGAGTGGCAGAGGCTCAGTCTGGGCTGGTGGGGGGTGACTTCTGCAAGGAGTGGGGCTCATGCTTCTCCTTGGGGGCCGGGACTGAAATTTTTTCAGGTGGATAAATCGGGAGGTAAGCCTGAACGTGAGAACAGGGATGAGATTCAGCTGGCAAGCGACCAGGGGGTGGCAGGTGGGAGAGCAGGAGAGATGGCAGCCGTCCTGGGCGGCCCTTGTGTGCACACGTGGTCCCTCATCGGAGAGTAAAACCGCAAGCACCTATGTAGTGTCGACCGAGGACCCGGGGCTGTTCTAAGCGCTTCACGTGTACCATTCGCTCCCCACAGCAGCCTGCGAGTTGGATGTCCATTTGGATGCCGTTTTTGCGCCTTTTTATTTATTTATTTTAATTAATTTTTTTGCCATGCCGTGCAATCTTAGTTCCCTGATCAGGGATCGAACTCGTGCCGCCTGCAGTGGAAGCGCAGAATCCTAACCACTGGACCGCCAGGGAGGCCCCTTTTGCACCTTTTTAGAGATGAGGGCAGGTCTGCTCCTTGCTTTAGTCCCACTGGTGGGACGAGGGTGGGAGCTGTGCTTCTGGACCCCGGGCAACCCACCCAGCCTGGCACCTGCTCAGGTGGGGTTTCCCAGCCGATGTGTTTACACGGACGAGCATCAAACCGGAGCTTAGGGTCCCTGCACTGGGTGAGCTCCGGGTCCTGGGAACTTCTGGGGTCACCCTTCTCTCAGACGAGCGCTGGGTCCGGAGGCTCACGTACGTGATGGATGTAGAGCCGGGATGGCCGCTTTGGTGTTCTGACCCCACCAGGGGCCTCTTCCTTGCTGCCTGGGCTTTCCCAAAGGTTCTCTCTTCACCACTCTTTGCTTCCCAAACTCAGGTGTGCCGATCTCATCCCCCGTTTGAGATAATACCACCACATTCCCCAGGCCTTCCTGGGAGAAACTCCTCCAGATTCCTTACACGCTTCGGGTGTGCTGTGAAAACACCTTTTCTGGTCTTTTCAGCTCTTCAGTGCAAGCAGGCTGTGCAGCTTGTGGAGGATTTTCTACAGAGAGCCTGATTTTTCGGTACTGAATGTTCCCTGTGCCTCTGCCGGCTGTGGGACAGGAGCCCCAGGAGCAGGGTGGCCGCCTTGCCGTGGTCCTCGGGCTTTGCTCTCACGGCCAAGAGCAGCTTCACCTTCCTTCCTCACTCCATCTGGAACGTGCTTTGTCACTCATTCATTCAACAAGTATTTGAGAGCCCGCTGCGTCCGGGGGTGTAGGGCATGGGCAAAGGGCAGGGCTCCCTGCACAGTCTGCTTTCCGTCCGTGGGCAGCAGGGACCAGATACCCTTTCCCTGCATCTCACGACCCCCCAGGCCCAGCTGGTGTGCACTTACTTGGCCGTGTGTGCTCACCGAACAGGGTCACCCTGTGCGCGGACCTCTGGCTGGGCTCCTTCCCTGCTGCAGGCTGCAGTCTCGCCCATCAGCCCGTGTAGAAAGTTCTTTTGTTCCATGATATTGCCATGATTGAATCCATGCCGCAGCCAAACAGGATGTGGTCTGGGTCACTCCCAACTTCCAGCAACCAAAGGTTCTTGTTTTCTGCTGCCTGAAGAGGGACAAACCCCACAATCACAGGGCATTTCAGGGCCCTGTGGGGAACCCTGGATTAATGAAGAGCCCAGCTCAGCAGCGTCTAGGACCTGCACCTTTAATTGCAGGGGAGTGAGTGGGAAGAGGTGGGGTGAATTCTGAGAGTCCTAATCCAGCCCAGGAGGACATGGCTTCCAGGTGAAGCTGGAGGCCTGTGAGTTTGGTTTGGGAGGAGGACTTCTAGGTGGGGCCCTACTTCAGGTCACAGCTGGTCTGTTTCTCTGCAGGGCGAGGCGAACGGGAAGCAGTGGCTCGATCCCCAGCCCTGAAGTGCTTTGCCCCTTCTATTCCGTGGGGTATCAGGGGCCAAGCCATGTGGTCCCTAAATCTTGAATAGATACAAATAAAACTTAAATATCTGGGATGAATAGCAAATTGCAGAAACAGTGAACACTCGTATAGACTGGTATAGCCTCTACCAAGGCCAAGAAGTGGAACTTTACCTTGACTTTGGAGTTCTGTTGCCCCTCCCCAATCCCAACACTCTCTCACCTGCCCCCTTCCGAATGTGTTTTATCTGATATGCCATATAGGTGTTCAAAGTAGTCCCTCAGGAATTTTGTGGTTGTCATTCCCTTGCTATTTATAGTTGTACAGCATAGCTAGCATCGTCTCCTTAAGCAATATCGTTTGTGTTTCACGTCTTCTCATTTATGTAAATGGAGCCACGCGCTATCTGTCTGTGGCTGGCCATCCCTAATGTGGCCCCTGTGGTCCCCACCTGCAGGCATTCACAGCCTTGTGTCATCCTCCCCAGGATGTGGCCAGCCTAGCAACCTGCTTCTAACTGACGGAATTCGTCCAAAGTGATGGGTGTCCCTGCCACGAACAGGCTACATAAGATTATAACGTCCTTCTTGAGAACGGACTTTCTCTCTGGCTAGCTTTGGCGAAGCAAGCTTCCATATAGAGGGGCCCACATGGCAAGGAGCTGAGGCCCTCAGTCCAACAGCCAGCCAGGGACTGAGTGCTGCCATGAAGCATGGGAGTGTAGGAGGAGAACCTTCCCCAGTCGAGCCTTCAGTGAGACCCCAGCCCGGCCTAGGCATTGACCGCAGCCTGAAGCAAAGGACCCAGCTAAGTCACACCTGGATTCCTGTTTGTGGTCTTTTGTTACCCAGCAGTAGGTAACTGATAGACATCCTTCTGAGTGTTCCCTCCTGGCTCATGTGTTCTTGAGGTCCACAGCTGCAGTTCTCTGACATGGTTTTCCACGTGTACTGGACCTCAGTTTCCTTATTCCTTCTGCTCTTGGGGATCAGAGCTCTTTTCAGCACTTTGCTGTTACAAGTCACCTTTTCAGCACAGCATCTCTGTACCCATCTATGGGACAAATCTGGCCATGGGATGGAGGGTGTCCCCTTCACGTCCCACCAACCACATTCCAGGTCATTCATGTTGTTCCACATCCTCACCGTCCCTCCATCCCTGATGTAGTCTGACTGTTCGTTTTGGGAGGAGGCCTGACGGAGGTGAGAGGGCTTTTAATTTACGCTTTCTTCATTATCAGCCATAAACTAATGTTTATTGGCCGCTCCAGTTTCTTCTGATCTGAAGATCGTTTTCATGGTTTTTCCTATTTTTCTTACCGTATCGTAGTTCTTTGAATTTTCTGGAAAATAAGCCTTTCTTGGCTGTGAGCATTGCAAATATTGCCTCCCAGTTTACTTGCCCACACGGGCTTCAGAAATCCAGCGAGGCACTTCCCGAATCCAGTCCTGGGCGATAATTTGCAGAACTGTTTTCCAGGCGTTTCCAGTTCTGGCCCATGGGTCCTTGGTCTTGGCCAAGGCATCGTGGCTGGGAGATTAGGTCCCACTTATTGTAATTATTTGTTGCTGCCTTCACAAGGCGTCTCTCCCTTTCTGTTCCCCTCTTGGCTCACCCTCTGGTCTGGGAGTGCTTTCCTGCTCAAACTGCTTGCTTTAGTCTCTTAGTCATTTTTGGAGAAAATCTGAGTCAGCACTGGACGTCGGGCAGGCGCGGGGTGCACTTCCTCCCGGCCCTGCAGCTTTAAATCTGCATTTCACTGTGGCCCCTGGAGGTGGGTGTTTTACTAAAGGAACGCGGGGTCTGGGGAGCCTGGGCCCAGCCTGTTTAGAACGAATACATTCCTGGAGGAAGTTAAAATTAGAAAAAGCGGCTACACTTCCTGCCATTCAGCCACAGTTGGCTGGTGTTTGTTTGCACAAGGATTCTTCTGGTAACAATCTGGGGTCGGTTTCTGGTGGAATGTGAGGTGAAGTCATGATTTTCAGGATCGAGGTGATTCGTTTCCATGGCAATCTTTGTTGTCAGAATCACGGCTTTGTTTGTGGTTTCTTGTAGAATTATGCCGGCATGAAAAAATATTCTTGAAACGACTCCTTTTTATAGCTAGCAAGAAAGGTTTTCTTTTTTGAGAAAGCTCTTTAATGGGAAGTTGATACCGTGGAGTGCATCTCTTTGTCAGTGAACTCTGGAAGGAGAGGACCTGGACCCATGGGGGCTTGGCTCACCCTGCCCCCTCCCAGGGTGGCCACCTCCCACCTCTCCCCTTGAGGTTGGACTTCTTGGGGAGCCCCCTCTGATTGGTACAGACTGGGGGCCCACCCTCACACCCCCCTTCCTCCAGGTTTAGCAAGTAAAAATGTACTACATCCCAGTATGTTTGACTCTTTGGGACATACTTAGAGTAATAAAATTATTTGTTGTGTATCTGAAATTCAAATTTAACTGGGTGTCCTGGATTTTATCTGGAGGCCCTAACACCTCCCCCACCTCACCCCCGGTGATACTTTGTGGTCCTCGGGCTTGGTCTCTCTTGGTCTCTCCCAGATGAGGAGGGATGTCGCCTGCTCTTGGCTGGCTGGTGGCACCTGTGGCTTCTCCAGGGTTGTCCCTTTTGTGTTTGGACACTTATTCGTGCCGGCGCTGGGCCGGTCGCTCTCACCTGCTAGGGTAAAGCTTGCGGTCAGGCGGTCATGGATCATGCTGTGCCCATTTTATGGACGGAGGGCGTGCTGGACGGCTCGAGTAGCTCATAAACGTCAGAGTCCTGCTTTGTCACTCG